CAGGAACATGACTTTGGTTCCTCGAAGGGGAGGTAAAAGGCCCCAGAAGCTACGTCGGGCTTCCTGGGGTCAAATAGACCCCGAGGAGCTGCTTATATGCTCCCAGAAACCGCACTAAAGGTTCCGGGAGCAAGAGAACTCCAAAGGCCAAGATTTGCATTTCCGGGCTGGTAAAGCTGCCAACAGGAACGTAACTGATTTTGTGAGTGGGGATGTAGAGTGTACAAGCCACGCAACGATTTCCTGGGGCCATATGATTCCTGGGCGGCTCACATGTTCCAGGGTCAATTTCTGAAGAGTTTACGGCAATCAAGGTAGATGGATATTTATACAGAGCACATCGTCAGCCATCACCTGTCGTTTACATCAAGCCATTCAGAATACTGCTCCAATGTTGGCCAATATCGGCCGGCTAGTCGGGTCAAGCGGCGAACATGCTTTGATTCCAATTAGGAAATTCAACATCTAAATCATCTCCGCAACTCAGCAGTATGTCTATTCCTTTCCAAGACCCTATCCGTCGCGCCTCTAACGTCTATGGGCTCCACCGTCATTCTTCGAAAATCATCATATAATTCTGCAATTGTTCTTGTTCGTAAATCCTCGCTGCCTCTCCGTCACAGCCCTACCATAGTAGGCTGTTGGACCCGCCTTTTTGACTGTTTTGTAGCTCGGTCCGTGTTCTCTGCTAGTGACCTCGTAAGCCGCATACGGCAAAACGCACGAGGGACATAATGATCACTAGAGATCCGAAAGCGGCCTGGCCAACGGATCCATAATACATAATCTTGTAATATGGAATGTGGCTCCTGTCAAAAAACTCGAAAGATGTTTGAAAACCGTGGACGCGGCTGGCAATCCAACCCCCTAATGAGAGAACGATCATGCTCACGACGATTTGAATGCACCCGTAGTGAAACCGAGCGGCGCAGTTCTCTTGTAGCCACTTTGGGTAGATCACAAGGACAAACCCGAAGATGGAAAACAGGGCTGAGACCAGGGCCGCAATCACCATGCCATCGACGACGTTGTCCATGAGGGTTTGGAATGTGATGTCCAAAATAGAGTCGCTTGGCGTCACGAGGTCGGATTCAGCACGGTCTCGCAGGAGGACAGCAAAGTATACAGTGGCCGAGTTGAGACTGGCAAGGGCTAACCAGGTGACGGTAAGGGAGGCAATGACAAGACGCGTCCGAATCATGGTCGCCGAAGTAGTCAGAGACATTGTGTCCGCAGATTTTCCGAATGCAGGAAGGTGAGGCAGGTCTCATTCAAGGAACCAGTGACAAGAAGTAAAGAACAGCAGCGGAATGATGAAGCAGGTCAACCTCGGAGCAGAGTGAATTTATATGTACTATGCGCTCTTCACACAAATGCTGCCTTAACAAGAGATAGCGCAGTTGATAGTGAGCCGTGCCAGGTGCCTTTTTCATGCTTTGTTGCTTCAGTGGCAATCATTATAGGCGCAGTAAGAATGTTTCAAGTAGAAGCACTATTTCTATCTTAAGATCGACGGCCACGGAAAGTATTCCTGATACTTGGTAGTAAAGCAGCTCTAGGAATCACTTCGTGTATTCCTAGGATCTACTATCCGGTGAAACGGGGCCACTATATCATCATCATCTCCAGGACGATGGATTGTGCATAGCATATCTCAAGACAAGTGGTGATTCCAGAAAAATATTCGATACAGAGTTTGCCTTGGTCTTTTTGCGATACATCACTTTGCTATACTCGAGGAACATTTTCTTTGCTGTTGATTGGGAAAATCCCGAACATTTCCACAGGAAGACAAATCCCCATTTTCTGCCATTTTTGTTGAGCTTACTGTATTTCTTTGCCAGCTAGCTTAGGGTCTGCTTCCAACTATAAGGCAACCCTTACTGTTCGTTGAACCAAGGCAGCCGATTAAGAATCGATTCTGAACTGTGAAATCTAACCAAATACCGCCAATGAGTAGGTAACTAACATAGATCAAGTAGGTATTCTCTGTCTGCACATGCTGTTGGTGTTAAGTAATCTTCATGTTCAACGTTGATGTAAACGTTGATCTGACCCCAGTCACCACCCGTACACCGACAAATGTGGTTATCCGAGAATACTCGGTAAATGTATCAGCACGACACTACTGTACCAAGCTATCGTGGACGAGGGCAAAGGCCGTAGCGCTCCTGGAAGCACAAATGAGACTCCGCCAGTCGCCCATTTTACTGATTTTACTGTGGCTTTTTGCGCGGCTGAATCATGACGCAATAACAAGTCCCTAGATATAGGAAATGCATCTCACTTCCATATGTTTCTATTCATGACCAACTTCTGGAGGCAGTGATGGGTCGGCGCCCGTCTGCCTGGGGCACTAATTAGAGGGCGAGCGGGGCGAACCACCGAGGCAAAACCCTGCAAGTCCTATAGGTAGAGAACTACGGAGTACGGCGAAGCACAAAATACTAACTCTAGATACATTTAAGCTAGAGAAAATATTCCTACTTGTCCACATTAGTAAGTTAGTGATTTGATATAGCACCTGCGACTCCGAGAGCTTCAAGGCGGAGACCACGAAGCAGGCCCTAGAGCGCCTCGTAGGCGCAGCTGGACTTGACGCAATTCGAGCATTCCGAGCTCCCTGTGTATATGGAAGTCTGGCAGCTTTCAGGCTTTCAGCGCCACGTTTTCATTTATTACTCTGAGGTGGATTACGTACATGGGTTGGCCAAGTGGCAGATCCAGGAAATAAAACACTTGCCCAACAATAGATGCGGATGCGGCCCCGGCCCTTAGCGCATTTTGTGTCACTTGCGAGAGTTTCATTTGCTCTGCATCTTGATTAGTGTTTAAAACCTCATAAATCCTAGGAGCCAGCCACAAATTACACACAATGGTGACAAATTCGAAGGCATGGCTTTCAACAGGTCTCAATTAGTTTAGGCACCCCGGGCCCTTCATTTTCTGCTACCAACTAGATCTTTCAAGTGACTGGACATGCCTAGAGGGCTATAAATTCCTCCCCTACCCCTTTTCATTATATGATAATTTGTGGACCACTTAATAGTCGAGCAGGCCTTGCGCTCAAGGCAGCCTGAGAATTTCTTTTTCGCAAGTTTACTTTTTGAAACGACTGCGAGCTTCTCATTGGTTCTTGACCAAGATCGTTTGGGTTCTCCTTTACATCATCTCAAGCTCTGTCCATCGAAGCCCGATTGCCGCGATGGCGATAAAGCCTACCCCTGGCTGTTCAGACATCGGCCTCGAGTTTGATCGCTTGAAGGACGTCAGGGCAATATCTCTCAATGCAAAACTTGTGGCTTTTGTCGA